TATAAAGTTTGAATGGAACGCTTTACCACGTATTTGTAGATATATCAACAAATATGACTTATTAGTTGCTGAGATGCTACTTTTGATTTGGTCCGAGCTTAGATGCTGTCGACATGTTTATGGCAATGATTCGTGTCGGTTGGGATCCCTGCATCTTGAAATGTTATTGCTCGACAAGCTGAAATAGTTGCTGAGCTAATGTTTCCTCATTGGCATATTGTTGTTCTTCTTAAATTATACGATACCCAAAGAGCAACAAATATGTAAAAAATGATCTTAGCTTAGTCTAAGATTTGCGACTTGACGACTCTCAGAACGTCTAATAGACGATGATGTTTCTTTTGTTCTTTCAACACGAATACTTTAAGAGGCGTTTATATTAGTAATATTAAATAAGCATATTAGTACAACTTACAGTATTCGCCATACTCATTTTTATTGGTTATTTTAAAGGCAACGAGCACCTACTTTTCATAAAGACATGCTTGAATATATTTTAATCGTTGCTACTCATAAAACACTAAGCCGCCTGACTAAGACCGAAATCATAACCAGACTATACATAATGATCATACTGATTTACTGAATCATACTTTCGATCCGCGAAGAAGCACTCTAAATCACCTAAAGATGCCAGATGTTATAGTCAATAGCACCCTGGATAATACAACGTACTTATTTTAAGATACATTTAAGTATCAATTCAACGATTGTAATGCTAATTGATCTAAGTTGCATTCTTTCTATTGAAGCTATAAAGATACCTTCATAGGTATTTGGAGTCGGCAAATTTTGCTGATTCCGAATAATATATACGTAAGTATCGAATAGAATGTAGCTTGAATCAATCAACTCACAATCAGCGAAATGATTATTATTAAGTAGATACTTAATAAGCAATGTATTTAGTCATAGATACTTACAAAATGAAAATGTTAGATGAACTTATCTATCTAACAATCCTTTAACTTACAGGATATTTATGCACCATAAATTTAATAAGTAATGATATTAAATAGTGTCGTAATATACTTAATGGAAAGCGTAAGCGTGATTAGAGCGATAAATTTTCTCTGTTCCGAAACGCAAAAGACAAAATGTAATTTCATTTCATAAATCAATACAATCAACATAGTTGATGTCACTTACAGTGTGAAAAATATTCATTTTTTTTTTTCAAAATAGTTATACATATAACACTGTATTTAAGAAAACACATATAACACTGTATTTAAGAAAACACTACAACTATGGCATTCATATAGTTCAATACATCGGGTTGAATCAAATGCACTCGCCGTTACTATACATCGAATTCTTTGACATCGGATTGAATCAAAATGCACTTAACGTTTGATATTAGTATTGAAACTATTCAATACAATATTGAAACTTTCAATACAATCCAACCTTGTAGGCATTGATGCATTTAATTTTCAAAATACCTTAAATGGCATTATTTGCGTTGTGATGCAGCGCAAACTTTTTAAAATGGCGTTTGAAGTGAAAGAACGTTGAGGCTACGTGTTATTTTTTTTTTTGTTGTTTTGATAATGCCTTAATTTATGTTAATATTGTTTTTACATTATTGTCTTTTGCGTCGGTCACAGAGCATATTTATTTTAAGGAGGAAAACGTGAATTTTCTTAATTGGTACACGTATAAATATTTTAACTTAACAGCCATATTATGTATAAGAGATTTCAATGTACCCCAGAAGCAAATCTACTATTTTATGTTATGTAAAAATTAGCACCCATGTAATGCTAGCAATAAACTAATACGGTGCACCTAACTCATCTAGACACAACTTCAAAATCTATAAATGGATTATTGTTTTAATTGTAAAGGCCAACTTTTTAGTTTAGTCGTCTACTGCTTAAAATACTGGAAGACAGTAAAAAAATCAATTTGCAAGTGTACAATCAAACCAGTGATGTATCTAAGGAACCAGTTTATAGCGATTAGATTCTATCAAAATATTAGGTAGTTCATTATCTAAGCTTGGTTCAGGTGATATGCATTGTCTTTATACTAACAAATTTTATCGCCGGCTTGTTACACTGGTTCATCAAAATATTAAATATGTCACAAATTCACAATACAGTATATGTAACGAAAGCGTAATACTTGTTGCTCATTTTGTAGAACTTTTAGATGTGCGCGACGTTGCCGCTCCGTTGTGTTCGTCGCAAGATGGCGGCTAATGCAGCGATGCACACAATGCATTTTTTCCACAACTGTGAAACGACCACGTGACGCGATACCGGCGTAGATGTAGCATTACGCGTGACGACGAGTTAAAAAAAAGGTCTTTGTCTCTGTTGATGTCTGCGTAATTCCTTGTCACAGTTTTCATTTTAATAATAACCTAAAAATATTTAGTTTTATGCACTATTAAAACACTTATAAAGGGCGATAAATTAATTCCTTATGTCCAGGTGTTTACATAGCTCGTTTTCGAATGAATAGTTTATGTTGTTAACAAGCAAATCACCTGACCTAGATTAAGCTAGCTTTCAAATTATTACAACAGACTCGCGTTATTCCGACAAATATTTTGCATCCCAGATGCTTACTGCCTATAGAACTTTTGTACTTTTATTGAAAAGTAGCACCTTGTAATTCGTCATATTGAATTACCAGGATGCCGGATTAACGAAAGTCAACTGTATTCCAACAAAATTATTAAAATGAACTGACATAAGTTATTTACTCGTAGATACGTACTTTTGAGAATTCTTGTTTTATAAATAATAATAAGTCACATTATAAATATCTAAATATATCTCATATATCTCATCAAGTATATAGTCTAGGTTAAAATTAGGATTTTAAATATTTGTTATTATTATTATATATAATACACAAAACACTTTATGAAAGTACGCAAAGGACAGATAATAATTTATCTAACGAATGAACGAACTTATATTCGTAAAATTTGATAAACACGTTACACAAATATGTACATAAATTTAAAATATTACAAAATATTTGATCTCTTTAATTAATTATTTTTAACACCAAAATTTAGAAATGTTTTATTGCATAGATTCGCCTCGACTATGAGACGGTGCGCAGACGCTGGCAATCGCCAAACAACATTTATGAAAGAACTTCAGTTAAACTTTAATGATTACCAATCCTAAATTAAAATTTGAAATGATAATTAAAAGTAGCCGTCCCTATGATATTAAGAATCTATGATTTTATCAAATATTACAAGACGGATAATTATTCGGATTATTAAAAATTATTCATGCGGTTTCCTGTTTAAATAATTGAATTAGTACATAGTTAAGGTTGATTTAGTGATATACAATCAATGATATTCGTCTCCGATATAAAGATAAACTAGCTAACAGTTATTTGAAAGAAAGCTAGAATCATGGAGATTACGATGTCATGTTAGTCATTCAAAGTTGTATAGAAACTGGTAATTATATATTATTAAAATGCCACACCTACGACTATAGTCATATAATAAATACATACTTATATAAAATTAATAATATTCATAGTTCATCTACTAGTAACGACAGCAACTTCAGAATTTAGAATATGAAAGCTTACCTGCTAAAAGGCGATTTTATTTTTATGTGGCTTTCATATATATAGGTGTCTTAGTTGCGCGACAGTAGTGATAGAGGCATATTTCTAAGTATACAGTAGGCGAAAACGTAATGTTAAGAAGGTACGAATTCGCCACGCATAGAAATTATCATACAAAGCTCGGCGTAGATGTCAAACAAACAAAAGATTTTTAGACCATAATGTCTTTTGAAAACAAATGACTCCCGTCATCTACGTCCAAATATGTAGCAACGATGTATTATATTCTACTATGTATTATATTCAAATATTAAATTTCTACTATGCTCTATTACCAGGCAACGCAACCTGGCGCCGTACGTTGGAGGGCGCCGCACCGATGATTTCAGGAAATTCCCTGTAAGGCGTGGGGGGGGGCGGCAAGAGCACTGCTTACACCCGGGCGCCTGTTGTGCTTAGACGGGCCTGTCTATTACTATTACTACTCTGTGAATGGCCTATGGTTTATGAAAAAAAATGTTTATTAGATGTACTCGTGCAGCGACAGCGACAGAAAGTTGCAGTGATACGTCCTATTCAGACGCTATTTGAAGTTCGTTGTTGAATACGTTTCCTTTATTTATAACACTATTCTAGACAGGGTCTTAAGCGCAATATAAACGTCTCAATGAATATATTTTAATAGCCCAAACATGAGTAAAAAATCAATTTTTAATATTATATACGACAACATTGAAATGTCTCGATTATTCGAAAATGTATCTTTCGAGCTCGATTTAATCGAGGTCGATTCCGTCATGTAAGATTTAAATATTTCAAGATCACAAGATTGGTGGATATGTACTAGAAATATAATTAAAATATCACAATAATATTGATAATAAAACATACCAAAGGAGGTGGATGCCATTGTAGCGCGACTAAAACACCAATAAAATATGAAAGCCCTCAAAATGTACTAATTTAATATTGAACCTCAACCGTTTGCATTAAGCCGCATTTCACCATGTGTTGACCTTAACTGGTTACATATCTCAAAATATACTTAAGTGTAATGTAGGTAGTAAGCAGGTATAATACTGTTTTAGCACAACATAACGTTAAAATAATTTGCATATAATATTTGTTTATAAATACTAGGTATGTCGTAACGGGGCGTTAAATACTGCTCAATACTCAATATCCTTATTGCATACCATCCCTATGGTAGTAATAGTGACGATCTCTGAATAAATTTCACGTCACCCGTGATGGTATTTAAATTATTTGCGGCGAACCAGTGCCAGATGCCTAAAGATGACCCTTGACCAACGAGTAAATAAAAAAGATTGAATATGTTTGCATGTAACCTTCTTAAACTCGATATATACGTAGCAGTATACAAATAAGAAATGCGGCTCCATGCTAATAAATCCAATTCTAATGTCAAATCGGGGCAATAAAGAAAAATGTCCAGTTATATTAAATTACATTTGAAATCCAACCGTATCTCTTTAAGATAGAACTTATTTTAGTAAACTAGATATTTTGTACCAGTTAACGTTTAGAATATACTTTTTCATAGTATTGATACACGTATGTCATTCAAAAGTGCTACAATACATTCCTAACATGCGTCTCGACCACGCCAAAGTTGCACTCATAGAAAAAAACCTCGAATACTAAAGTACTCAAAGTATTTTTTACTAGGAAAGCTACATAAATATTATTTTATTACATATACATATATAATATTCATATTAATGGATCATTAAATTATAATTGGAAGATACCAATGTCCAATCAATTCCACAACAACCGTTATAACATTTTTAACTATAATTTAATAACGAAGCGTACATTCCAAGGTAATAAGGAAATTGTGCTAGAAATTAAATAATATTATGTGCATTCAATCTGAATAGATAACCCGTAAGGTCAACTAGCTAGCTAATAGAGAAATGAAATAAAAATGACAATAAATTAATTACGTAATATAATAATAGAAAAGAATTAAAAATAAATGAAAATGAGAATTCATTTAAAATATACCAAAAAAAAAGCCACTAAAATAAATCTAAATAATTGAATAACATAATTGAAGCGTGCGTCAATATATTCAGGTTAGTATAAAAAAAAAGCACAGAGATTATAAAAGTTTCAATCCGCGACGATGTACATAGTTAGTAAAAAAGACAATGGCAATAGCACTTAATATATACTAGTGATTTGTATTACGTAATTATAAGTGCGCGTCCAAACGTACATCCATAGTAAAAGGTCCAAAAACACATACATTCTTAATATAATCCGCATAAACTTCTAAAACGTTTTGTAGACAAGTTTTAAATCGATTAGACGTATATCGATATGCAATCAATTCTATATCGATATTATTATCAACATGTTTTTCGTTGTAGAAATTTACGCTCGCTTTACGATAAGTCAATTCAAATCGGTGTCAAAATAATGCAGACAAGTGTCACTTTGTACTTTCTCATATACATCCTGTAAAAAAATCAAATATGGGATGAATTATGTTATCCTTAGTTATAGATATAAACCTGTAAAATGAACGGTTTATAATAATTATTCACTGTATGAAATTCGTTACTCATCATGCGTAATAAAGTCATAATTATACTATAAAATGTATTTAAAAACTAATATTTTTAGTATGTATATCGGCTCACAAATATATTATTAAATAATGGTGATAATTGTTGTTGTATGTTTTTCACTGTGATTTATATGCTTTTTTTATTGCGGATACCAGAATTTTTTGAGCTGCACAAAATAAAACTCGCCTCAGTATCAATATAATTTGAAAAAGAGTTACCAATTTGTGACGTACCTACTTTGACAATTTATATCGATACTAAATAAAATGAATACTAAAAGGTGGAAATAAAACCGCAGATCAAGATCGATTTCCTATTAGCCAATAAAAAACACTTAAGATAAAGGGAAAAAGCCTCAAAAATCATCACCAATAACAAAACGTATTAATAATAATAATAATACTTGGGCTGACTTCGGGCCTAACATTAGTTCAATTATTTTATCATTGTTAATTAAAAACTAAACCTTATAATATCAGCTACATAAAAAGAACGGCGTAAATGTTTAAATACAATAAACAGTAATATATTTCTGTCATTTGTTGCGTTATGTCTTCATATTGTGCAATGTATCGTACCCTCTTTTCGATGCTAACTGTCCGACATTACAAAGAATATTACTATATCTAATAGTTTGGGTTACACAAACAACTTGTAAAACATACCTTTCTATATCTATTCACATTACTATTGAACACTGGTAGCTAGCAAAGAAAAGATGGTCTAGTTAACCTTAATTTACTGCCATCTATCGTGAATATACAGAACTGCATACGCGTAGTCATATTTCAATATACAGTAGCGTCATCTAGTAATAAATTATATCTAATATAAGCCGAGATGTTCGGTATTTGTCTTGGTTATCAACGCGCATGATGCGTACTTCACAATAAATTGCAGCCATTTTAAGTGTTAGCAATATTATAATTTAACTACGGTATACTCTTTCACGGATAAGGCTTATAATATACATTAAGTATTATAATAGTTAGACACCACAATAGTTTCAAATATACGATGATTGCATTACGAGATATCTTGAATTCATTTAAATCTAGTCAGACCTATACAAACAAGTGATTTCAAAAATCCCATATGACAGCCATGTGATGTGGGAATTCGATAGAAATACTTAGGAAGATTGGTGAAACACATATATTATATCAGAGGGTAAAAGAAGCAGTTTCACCTGTTAGAGTGATATTTTAAATCCGCAGCGGACTTAAATACTGAGACCTATCTAACAATTGAGGAGACAAAATTTAAGAAACACTTAAGACTGTATCCTGAAGACTGGCTGCTAAATCGCGGACTTAATAAACGACTGCTTAGTCATTAACTATTTCCAACAAACTATAAAATAATGTAACGAAGAGCGACTTATTTCAATTTTTTAAGTTACTGTTTGACAGCCAAGCGTCAGGACAAAAGTCAGGGAATTTCAAACGCCGCGCACTAGCTCTTACAAGCATGGCAATAAGGGTGATATATTACAATTTATTATGTATGTTTGTGTTTGGTGGTATGGAGTGTATCGCAATGACGATATTATATTAGTATTTGAGGTATCACTGCGATTGGGGGTCGCACTGAAGCAACCGTACGATCGAGGGGTCACTTTTAGCGCCCTCTATGAACTCTTCCAGGGAGAGTTTCCCGTCTTTATTCCTGTCCATCTGTCGGAATATTTTGTCAGTCCGCTTCTCTGGTGTGGACTCGTCCTCCGGCATCTTCATAACGGAACCAACCATTTTGTAGATTGCCTGAAACGTTGATATTGAACATTTTTACTGGTCATTTCCGTCAATCATTCCGCATTAGGCCACGTCCCAAAATATTATTTCATTTTCATTATACAAAAAAATAAAAAAAGTAATGGCGCTATCAGTATCGGTTACAAAAAGTAATGATAGGCAGATATAAATATCTTTAAAATTTAAAAGGCACACACTTTAAATACGAGAACCAATTTCAATTTTATTTTTAAAAACATTTTAAAATACCTAAAAAATAACATCTTGAACATCTTTCAATCTCCCTGTGCAATTTTTTTCACACATCATGTTTTATTTTACTCGCACATCTGTAAGTCCTACTCACTTTTCTATTCATATTGGAATGCTATAGTAAATTTGTCGTATGGTCCAATACATATAACACCACATCAACTAAATTATTATAGAGATCTATCTACTAATAAATAGAAAAGAAACGTTAAATTCATTGGATTTTGTAGATTCTGAAAAAGCATGTGCCATGAAACTATATAGTCTGAATGCATGTCGACACGGTAAGCGAATACGGTGAGTTAAAGTCACGTAAATAATAAGGTCATATTTTTATTATTAGGCTCATAGCACAACTAAACAGCACGACTCCAACCTGTTCTGTGGCACCAACCAAGTAATATTTAACTTATCATTTAAATTTGACCATTAAATCATCGTGCATAACATAAAAATAAAGAAATCTGAAACTGACGTTATAAAATACATTATATAGCATATAATACGATTTAATGTTGAAATTTAAATGGCAAGTAAAACGCCATGTCGATTTACATTTGTCATTTTTATTGCCTAAGAGAATTGTTTGGCACATAAAAACTTTGTAATGAGTTGGCATCGATAAAAATTAAATAATTGGAATTTCCTGTATTTTGGAGAAATCGTTTTACACTGACGATACTCGTGTCAATCACTCAAATGAAAGCGCGGCAACTGATACACGCTCAAATGCTTGCTCACGCACACACGAATCTGATTTATGGATTACAGTTTATATAGAACACGGAATCTGAATATAGTTTAAGCTCGGCATATTTCATATGTAGATCTTTTGTCAGAATCTTAAACTTATACTCGATATTCACTCTCATTGACTGTCATTGACTATGTATGAAAAACTCGCTCAGCTTAGCTAGCTTACACCAATAGGGTATTCTACTCTGTTTGAAATAATACTCGTAAATGAAAAAAGCCATATCAAATATTTTGGAAATATAATTTTCTTGCTTTAAAATTAAATTAAATTTTAAACTATTTTATACCCGCGAAAACGCTGTCCGTCTTATTCATGACGTCATTGAGATATGTACACAAAACAGATGCAGCACATGACAAACTTGAGAACGTTTTGTCTACACTCAAATGTCACTTTTCTCGAGATACTGACAAATGAGTGTAGACAAAGCGTTTCTCGAGTTTGTTATGCTACGCGTGCAGATGTCTTGAAGATTACTCTTGTTTTATTGTCAATAACAAAAGCAATGTCATCTAACGATTGATTATAAAATAAAAAAGATATAAACAAACTAAGAACAGCGCCTTCTAGGAATTTGATTTCTAATAAATAAGCATATATTTATGACTAACTAATATGAACGTGAAACATAGACAAAAAATCACGAGTTTTAATTTTAAGACAATAAGGTGTTAGTATGATTATAAAACTCAAAATCAGTATCTGTATGTTTCTTATGAGGTAAATTTTAGTTTAACTACCTATCGGAATCGGAAACTCACTTATATTGCATGTAGCTCAGCGAAAAAGCTATGAAAACTACAAACTAACTAATTAAAAGGCATACTTCTCGCTATATTTTTTCTAGTTTCTGGTTCTAATCACTCGTTGGAGGCGATCATTGGAGGCGAAAATTCCACACAAAGCAGTATCTACATATCTAATACAACGTTGTTACATAGAACTCCAAACATGATTATTTAATTTTTATTTTTATATTTACATTAATATAAAAGTTTATTTATAGAAAAATACTTTAAAAAAGTAGTAATCTGACTGTTACTGACAATTCTAAAAAGTATTGCCAGCTTTATCTAAGCTTGCAAATAGTTTTAAAAATACAGTTATACTTCAAGGTGTCGAGCTTATTTTAAAGCATTGATGGAATTTTCACCACTAGCAATGGAAGTAACAAATAAATATTTAAGATATTGTTGAATATCGGTAGCCATGTTGGATTCATTCAACTGAGCTGAGCTATCATCCGCAGGCTTAACGCGTAAAAATTTATGACTTTTGATTATGTTGAGCGTTGAAAGCGATCGAATAACGTAACAGGGGGCAGAATCGGTGATATAATTAATTCACAAATTATGCGTGATATGAATTACACAAAATGTTATTAATATTATTGAAATTAGTTACAAAAGATTACGATAAGCATATTTCAGTAATAAATTGCCCATGACAAGTTTTTTCGCTCAGTGCTCGCGGAGCGAACAACTAAAACTATATTGGCTTCGATTTGTTGTCATTGAAGTCAATAAAAATATTCAACGTTCAATTCTGCATTACTACATACGTATGTGGCGTTCAATAAATCGGGTTGAATTGAAAGCCAAACAAATCGAAGCGAATTTCATTAAATGGTGACGCTGTTAATTTTCTGGTATTAGTTCTAGACTTATTTTATATGTAATGATATTTTTTCACATCGTCACTTCCAAGTATGTTTTATATTTTATGACTACATTATTTTATTATAGTGGAACTGCCCCTTTCTTGTCCTTAGCAAATACGTGTTAAGGTTAGTTGCGTGCATATATTTGTCGTGATTGTAATCAGAAATACGACTTATAGGTATATAAATCTAATGAAAGTACTCAACGATAAGGAAGGGGTCGTGCAGGTTGAATAATTTGTAATGTTTATGTTGAGAATTCATATTATAAAGCAATTATTGTCAAAATTTGATTATAAAATATCAAATAAATTAAATACAACGTTTTGGAAATTCAATCTCAAATAGTTATAGACTAGAATGGGGATGAAAGCTTGCGTTTTCAATAATTTATCGTTGAGAGAGTATAATAAAGAATTATTCGACGACTTCAAGCGAAATTCGTAATACATACTATTTTCCTTCATATCGACTTTACACCGAAAGTGCCTCAAGAAAGTATATTTATACAAGTTATTTCGACTTAGTTTAGTAGATAAACGACTTAGTTGTTTAATAAGTAAAATCAAAAATCAAAATCTTTTTATAATTGAAGTACGTATCAAAAAATCGTATCGTATCCTATGGATAAAGAATTAAGCGGTCGCATCGATCATCTCTTGTGGAGAGTGCAGAGAGAACCGAGTGCACAATATTATTTATTTCAAGCTCACGATCCTGATGACATTTTTTTAATAAAAAATAATAATAAGATTACCATAATAAGATTAATGAAGTCCGTGATTTACTCATACTAATAATATACTCTTTGTCTTTTGACAATTACCACGATTGTTTCCAATACATATCGTTGTAAACGAGCAGCCAAAATACAGCATACTTACAGTGACAATTTCCAGCATCTCCTGCCTGGAAATGTATCCGTTGCCGTCTAGATCGTACATAGAGAATGCCCACTTCAGCTTCTGTTCGAGTTTCCCGCGTGACGTCACGCTCAGCGCACACAGGAACTCTCGGAAATCTATCGTTCCGTCGCCATTCGCGTCGAATGTTCGGAATACATGCTCTGCGAACTAACAACATATAAACGGTTAACTAACACGCAATGCTGTGGTTAATATATAATGTAATATAAGTGATGTATATTTCATGGAAAACTAACAGTTCGTTGACTTTGACTGTTCTTTATGAATATTGATTATGTTTTTTTATGAATTTTGTGACTATAAACATTTGTGATGATATTTTTATCATTTAAAACGTAATATTATCAATGTATTAAGCCATAAAATTGCTTTTTTTAACATATCCAACTCTTGTTGAATAATCGTTCGATTAACTTTGAATCTCTTTTTTTGATGGCATTACCGAAATTCATACCTTACTAGCGTCCCCATATGGAAAGAAATTCCCGTATATTTTCTTAAATTCTTCTACAGAAAGATGCCCGCTGGGACAATCTTTTAGAAAACCCTTGTACCATTCCTGTATTTCTGCGTCTGCAATTTCAAAGATTACATTAGGTATATATTTCGGATTGAAATATAATTTATAAAATATTAAAAATTATGTGTGAGCAATAACGTGTTATCTATCTATAATAATGAAGAATAATACTAAAATAAGAAATAATACCGATTGTATTTATTTTTAAATCATGTTTCATATATTATAATATCCTTTTTTGTACGAGTTGTATTACATATAGATCATTAACCTAATCTAACCGCAGTTTTTAATTGCAACACAAAATGCATCAATTCACTTTAATTACACTTTAGTATGCAATAAGTAATTTTATATGTGCGTTTACTATTCTTTTATTAAGTACAGATAATCAGAGGAAATTTTAAGTATAGAAATGTAATAAGTTTTTAAAAATTTAATATTGTGTTCGTTACGGCAAATCACGTTTGCATTCTTTTTCTCTCTTTCGACCTATAGACATTGGAGATAAACACATTGCAATCTACTTACAGTAACCGAAGGTTGACGACCGATTTTTGTTTATATTTCTACAGTATAGTCACTACTATTAATATAATCATAAAAATATAATTAATAATATAATAAAGTAAAAAATAATTATAACATTAATGTTGTAAATTATAACTTTCTATAATTAAGATTGACAGTTCAAAAAAATTTTTTATGAAGATAGCAAAACAAATTAGAAAATAAAAACCACCTTAAGTTTGCATTCTCAAATGCATTATTTGGTATAAAAAAAAAATAGCTATTAATAAGAGACTATGTGTTCATATACATTTTTTACAATTATGTTTAATAAATTTGCGTTTGACATATTTATCATTTATTTTATTGAAAATACCTAAAAGTTCAACCACCACATATATCCGATTTTATCAAAATTTCCTTATTATCTCATAGGTTTTTAGGATATATATTAATAGAATACGAAGTAAAAGTAATGACATGGCCATATTTTTAAGGATTTAAATTATATTTTTAAAATATTCTATATTGTTAGAAAATTATATAGTCACGACGTGTATATTTTCTTACTCTCGTCGTTTATATACATTACCGGACGCACATTCGGTATTATATACTTAGAATACCTACGGAAAGTATTCAATAAATAATATGTATTTCATACATTACTAACACGTTTTAGGGATTATATAAAATACCGGACTATATAGATTACCAGTAACATCTATATAAGAAAAATTTACCGACGCGTGTTTTTTATTGCATTTGACTGATCCTTGATAGGCCCGTGGGTGCCTGCGCTTAAATACTTTCCTAACTTTTGATTACCAAGTAATTATCTATAAATAATGGTTTTAAAGACTAGTGTATATATTATATTCGGAATTAAAATTGCGGTAGAACGGATGAAGATATATGTAATCAGTAAAAAAGCAAGAGGGCAAAACCAAGAGATGGGAAGAATTACCAACGTAATATAGTTTCATATATCAATTTATTGTAATTTTCCAGTACCGAACAGCTGGTCTCGTAATAGGGGAAAATAACCTAATATGGAATAAAACCCAAACACATTGAAATTTCCTCTTGAATTATTAAAAATAGGGGAAAATTTAATATAATAGATGTAAATTGTCAATAAGTCAGTGAGAATCGCGATCGGTTTCTGATTACGAAGTGTCATTATCAGGAAATAATATATGTCATTAATAGCAAATCCAATATTTATTCTTAAGTTTATTTTTCCATATTGATTAGTTTCCTCTATACATAGAAGTCTTTGGTAAATAATCGTTATGTGACTCTATCCAGTTTTTCCAAATATATAAAAATGTATCAGTCGATATTATTTTCACTTTACCTGAAAATTCTGTATTCTGCTTCAGATCTTCTAAGACCTCAGGTTTTAGTTTGCTATTTTGTTTACCCATCTTTTTTTTTTATTTCTTTAACTCGTGATATATATAGGACGTCCTAAAATTTGCAAAACCAGCTCTCTTTCAGTTAGTCAAATTCTTGTGCCCTAAAAAACACGAATTTTAAAACAAAACGATTACAGTTAATTTAAACAAATTAAAAACAAAATTGTAAGTCGAAACATTGTTAAATAAAGATAATATACCTTGTCCATTAAACTGCAAATACAATTATATACGCCAATTCAACTACGAATAATGTAAAAAAATAAGGCAAAACCAAAACAGTGCTTAAAATGGACTTTTGAAATAACGAGACAAATTATGAACTAGTATTTTTTTCTCAATTTGTATATTATACATGAATAGGCAAAATGTGAATCATTAAAAATATGTTATTCTTAGACATACAACAGATAGAGAGAGGATGGGGACATTGTGGTTAGTCTACTTAGTTAAAGTGACTATTTAATTTATTATACTAACTTATAACATCGGGTAAAAACGCGGGAGATATATAAATCCCTACGTTTTTCTTTATTAACGGGTATACCATACTTAATTATTTTTAAGTCTTTCTTCAGACTTGGAGATCATTAAAAAAAAAACCGTTAAATACAGTTTCGTCAAGACAGTATTCCGTAATTACTAAAATGCATTTTATAGTTAATACAATTAAGCTTTTGAATCAAACATAATGTCAAGTTTTATTCTTAGTATATTAACAACACAATATTTGAATATATGCGAGTTATTTTAGACAAGAGTCACATTCTTCTTACATTTCATCCGTTAATAATCTAAAATTATAACTATGGCATTGTAATACATATTGCACATGATAATTTAGCGAATCGAATATTAAACACACCCTGTACTACATTTAAATAAGTTCAATAAGTAACATAGCCACTCTCATGACCATGACGACGAGATTTATAATAAAACAATAAGAATACATGATCTGATGTGAGTTCTAATATGTCAACGAAATATTTAAAGACCAATTGTAATTAAACCTAATCAAGGAATTATTCCATACAAGTTTATAGTATTGAGGGACCAACACTAGATTATTTAGAAATATCTATTGCCATTAAGTGCATTTAATGTTTGCTAAATCCATATCTTAAAATATGTTTATATGTACTATAATGTATGAGCTATAGAAATAATACATTGTGACATCATATAAATGAATTGTGCTTTTCGCTATGTATTACAATTATTGCTATTACAACTACACGTCTAACACAAAATTTATGAACCACGAATTGTATATCGTCAAAGTTGCATATTTATTTATTATGTACCTAAATACATTAATTGATTTTCCAAAATTGTCACTTGTTCAATAGTCATGTGTAAAACCAACCTTTCAATCTTCATTAATATTATCTTTATCAAAAATAAAAATATATTTAGATGTCCCAAAAAAATTGTATTTAAGCGAATTATAAAAAAAATACATTGACATTTACGAGACATATTTGACTGATGTCAATTTTGCACTGGTGACTTTATGTCACAGTAATAATGTTCTGTCATGTCAAGAGTTTTTTCTTTCTTCTCTCATTATGCTGCCGCGATTGCGAGATGCGAAAGAATGTCTATAAGTATCGATAATGAAGATACTTTCGCATTTGACAAAAGCAGGAAGAATGTCGATATTTTTGAAAGTGTGGCTGTTCCTCAAAGTCAGCTATCGATATCGAAATTAATAATAATTTTATATTTCTGGGTCAGTTTTTATTGAAGATTGATAAATTGGTCTTTAGTTTAGAGGCTACAATCAAACCGCAGAACACTAAACAATAAAATATATAAATAAGTGCTTGCTGATATTCGAAAAAATCTAAAGAATTTTCGACGACACCTTTTTTATTTTTGTAAATTACCAGTGCATGATTGTAGCCAATAGAAAACCTTAACCCTGATTATAGTATATATGCACATCTATACTAAAATACTATGACAATTATCAATAGTTATGAATTACTATTAGGCTGATATATAATGAATAAATTTCAAATTAGCAATGAAGTATTCAGCCAGACAGACAGACGAAACAAAAATCAGTATCGAAGTTTTTATCAAACAAAATAATTCACTTCAAATTTATAGGAAAAGGTTCAATAAATATTTGATTTCAAATCAATAAGATTCGTAATTTGCCACCGAAATATTTATTTATAGCTTTAAAAAAGCACAAAAGTAATGTATTTTAAAATTAATTATGCTTTTCATATTATAAGAAATATTTTTTAGACAACTAGGAATTACTTATCTACAAATTTGTGCGCAACTAAAACTTTGATCACTTTTCTACAATTATTTGATTATGGCACATATAAACACAAAACATTAAACACGGTAACATTTTCACGATACTCATCACTACAAAATTGATATTATTAAGGTAAAAATATGTATTGATTGATTTACATTCGTGCTTCTAATATGTGCGTATTAAATTGTAGCATCGAAAGAGTATCAAGCTGAGATTTGAAGTACGAAGTACGAGAAATAAGCTGTAAGTACAGCTAAATCGTTAGAACAACTACTGTGTAGACATATTACTAAGAGCAACTGACGCGTAGGCCTGGGTCGCGCTTGAATAAAACATACACAAAAAGTTTTATTTACTTAATTGACGGACTTTTTTTTTGAAATTTCATTTCTCAATCCCTTGAGATATGTACATACATTTAAATCATATTTATTTCGTGTAAAACGTTTAATTTATATTTTTAAATACTTTATAATATTTATGAAAGCTGATACTCGTGTTATCAGACTATCAATGTTAGTAAGTATTCGTATTAAAATGCCGATATTGTGATATGTTATATAACACCCTGTCTACGAGAGCTACCATCAGGTCCAAAATGAGTATCATTGATCCCTCTTCCCTACTTTTAAAAATTCAGTCGTTTTTATTCAATTTTTATACGTCCTATTTATCTGTTTATTATCGTTATGTTGGTTACATTGTTTAATGGAACTGTTACAATTGAAAAATATCAAATTAGTAATAAATTAATACATTGATACTCTTTTTTCGTACCATAGATTATTATTATCAAAATCATATAGTTTAATTCATCTACTAATATTATTAATAATACTGATAAAGTGTAAAATTCAAAATAAAATACTGTAAATCAAAATATTAGAAGCAGTATGATATTGTACAAATACATTAGAAAATACTTAATATAAAATTATGTGGAATGTACATGATCAACAGTACGATTACCGTTACTTTAGGGTTAGTTACTCAGTGCACAATACTTATTTACTATTTTCGAAATTTATAAAATGTATACAATAAAATTCCATAAAAAATAATCAAACATGTCACACACGATTATAACGAAGCGAAATAAATATAATATTCTTTTTTTGTCAAACTGTATAAGATAGCTTTTGCATAAATATTTCAGTTTTAACAGTTTCATCGAAGTGATCTTCCTATTTTTTCCAAATAATAGCAGACAATATAATAAAAGTTAAATCACTTAGATATTACATTTTAATTGTAAAGTTGAACGTTGACATCTTGTAATAAAATTTCATACAGTTGACTTTATTTAATATCTTGCCCCTCTTAGTGTTTTAAGGAGAGAAAGAGCTAAGTGTATTTTTAGGCTACTTAATAAAGCAAACCTCAACTTCAGCACCTGTTATTATAGTTTATTGTTATTAGTATCCTTGTTATATGTTATGGGCAGACAGCATTAAACTTATAAAATAAGGGTAAAGTACATATACCTATAGATTATACGATTTCGTGTGTGCTATGTTTGATAAATTAAAATAATATAGACAATATAAAGAGTACTTATAAACTGTTTGATTTATAGAAATACTAAGCTTGCATAGTGAATGAATTTTGTCGGCCATTTGGTGTATCTAGCCTTCTAGTTCACGACTAAAAGATGTCATTGATTAGTACGACAATATACGAGTATATAAGAATAATAAAAAGTATGTAGACTTTAGATGTGATAGTCAGTGATCATATAAATCGTATGTTTTGTATAATATTAGCATTTCGTAGATCACATGGAATCATGACTAGTGTTGTTGCTTTAACGGTCATTTATCGATAGTATTATGACACTATGGTAATTTTGAATCGAGAGTCAAATGCTTATTGTCAAAGATAAATAATTACTTGTTGCCAATCTATCAATAAATTACTCTGTCAATTGTGTCTACTATTAAAGAAAACCGATAGGTTGGATATTAATTTTTTGCAATGTAACCGATTATGCTCAATTATAGAGAGAAAAAATCTATCTCTAACTCAAGAACACCCGTCATGACGTAACCTTTACTTTCCATTGAATCCACGACTATTTTAGAATGCATCAAAATTAGGTCCATTTTATAGAGGTTTAATATGAGCAATATTACAAATTCAGTTCAGATTCCAAAAAATATGATTTTTATTATTAAAAGCGATCAATACCAATACAAAATAGAAAAGAAAAAGGACATGATGTATAAATTGTTAGCAATGGTTTGACTGTACGATTTTGTATGACATCTGATAGGTTCAATACACCATATAATTAATTATACATTTAATCTGTTTCATTATTCCTTTAATCGATTCAATTATTTGTGAAAGTTTATAGTAAATATTTAAAACTTCTTAGTTTAATTTTTTCTATATTTATGTTTTTTTTTTATATTAACCATACACAAGGGTCAAGATTGTTTGTGAAGATAATTACCAAGTTTTCAACTCTTTAATTCCGTTTTTATAACGATGTTATGAAACCTTTATCAACAAATATGCACTGTCGAGAAAACTTTTAAAGATAACAAAAAATACCACGCTTTATTTTCGCGACCCTTAAGATTTGCGTTGCTGTTACAAAAACAATAAGCTGGGTATATAATACAATTTAAATACTAAAAGCTAATTATATGACAACTTAATAAACTATGACTAGGTCTTAAGAAAGTTATAGGATCTACACCATTGAAGGTACAAATATTGGTACACAAGTAAGTCATTTTGGTTTACAGTATAGATGTAGGTAAGAATTTATAATTGAAAAGTTTTATAAACTTAATCAATTTCGCAAAAGCCAAAACTTAATAGAACAAAGTGGAGTAAACTATTTACAGAGAACTAGAAGGCACAGTATTGGGAAATGATGTGAACACCTAAGATAAGTTACCGTAACTTCAGCAAAGTTATAGAATAGGTGATTCAATTTATTACTAGAAATGGAATTTCCAAATCTATTTGAGCTCTAATTAGTACAAAGACAAAAATCATTTAATATTTTAAAGCTCTAAAATCATGAAGAGATAAAAAGCTCGTAGTGAAGTCAGTTGAGGACCGATATTGCTAAGTTTTTCAGCTTACAATAATATAGAACATCGATACACATATTATTATAAGGTTTTAACTGTTCAAAGTCTTACGTTTATTTTAAAAAATTGTACTTGAACAGTATTTAAGCAACGGATAGTCAAGAAAAAACTGTTCGTTGGTCGACGCTGACCGTCCTTTAACACATAGCTACGCTAAAATTACCTTAATACGAGAATATTTAAGATTGACATTAGTATATACTGTGCAAGTAATTAATTCATCCATGGGATGGTACACGATAGTAAGAGTCAGACAGATATTAATATCAAGGTTAATATTTTGATCATCTATAAAGTGAATGGTTCGGACACAACAATTGTACTTATACGATAAGCGAAGTGGACAATCCGACAACGACAGAAACTTCACAATACATACAACTTTATCGTCCCTATATATTCATCGAAATAGGAATGGACATTTTTAATACTCAAGGAGATATCGGTGAATACGCACACCAAGTACTTTAACCTAATTTTTTTTTTTACAAATGTTATGTCCCACTGTTTGCAGAAGTGCAGCCTACTATGTTCACTTCTAGAAAGGAAAGAAACAGGCAGCTTTTTGAGACGTCTTCACATCATTATCGATTTATCTGTTTTTATAGCAGCGGTTGCTATTCGTCAACATCAAGTACATCATTTATATATTTGTTTATCTTTTCTCTGATGAATCGACCACAATAAAATAATCAAGAAGTTATATTAAACAAATGCTAATAAATGCGCTCCCATCTTTTGTGACTGACTGAATTTAAAGTAATAATTAAAACCTTTAAAAATCAAAAGAATTATACCAACTTGATAAGACGGAAGACCATGTTTGTTTTCCGTTATTTCAAATCGAACTTGGCACACGAATAAAATTCACAAATCGTCTCATATAATATACATATTATGGCAGTGTTCACATTTATTCCACTGCAAGACAGGAGGAGCGAAAAATAAAGTTCATAACAAGCTCCAGCACGCGTCATTAACCAGGAAATGTTATTTCACAGATGCTTCTGAAACTTTCTCGTTCAAATTTAGTATCGCTGCTCGCGTACTCTAATGCCTAGAGAGTTTATAGTATCTCGGCGGACGTTTGTGATGCTTCAGTGTAGTTTGCGTTTTTATCTCTGTTGTTTACGTTCATACGAAGGCTGCACTTCACGAGAGCATATCGCGTTGAGTAAACATGGTACAACGATTCCTAACATACGAATCACTCGCCTCGAGTGCCGGCTGTATAGTTAGTCCTGTGGACTGCACGGAAATATAAGAATTCACATTAGCATTGACTATGCGACATAGTGTGTGCCCCAGTGTTACTGCAATAGTCAAAGTCTATCGATAGTACAATCACACTATAGTGGAATTTAAAATCGGCCACACTACCTATAGTCATATCGAAACTTTCGTGCTACTATAGCATCATAATTAATACTAATAATTGTATATATAATTTGTCTTATCGATAGTTTATAATGTTTCAATGCTATCGCTGATTACAAAGTTATTTTATGTATGTGAGTTTTGAGCTTTCATGTGCATATGTTAATAGAACTCATATATCAATGCCATCTTCACCGCTATAATCGATTTATAGTATCTATAATAAACAGTTCTATAGTTAATGTGACAGTTTTTCAAATTCAACTATCGATAACGAAACCATAACTATTGCCACAACACTGGTGTACCCTACCTCGTCACGACGCTTCATCACTAATATTACTGCGACCGGGGCAGGCTATTAAAAATCTAAATTACTACGTGACACTTAAATTTCGACATATAAAAATTTTCGAATTCAATACCACCGCCTTTAAAAGAGCCCGTCGTTGGTCGGAATGTAGTATTGTTACATTCTAAATGTATCCAAAGCGCGATTTAATCCGGTAGTTCTGAACGAGCGCTTTCAACCTTCGTTAGATTAAATCCGACTATGAAAAGGGAGTAGGATAAATTGACTTGAGGGGTAGGGGCGCCGGAACGTCAGTGTATCGAAGGTTGCCATTGTGCAGACAGGACCTGGTTGCCGTGAGGTAATATTGTAGGGCTGGGTAGTGGATTGGGCCGTGCGTGAGGGCGGTGAGCGCGTTTAAGGCGCGAGCATTTTGGACAACTCCTCATCTTGGAGACAGCCTTTGAGGAACTCATCCTGCGTAAGCTGGCCGTCGTTGTTCTCATCCATTTTAGCGAAAATATTCTTGGCACGCTCCTCGGCGGAATCAGCCGGCCTGTTACTTGAGCACGCGCCAAGCATGTCGTAGATAGCCTGCAATTAAAAACAATAAAAATTTACTACACTTAAAACAGAAAGAATTTTCATTAATTCTAGAAAATTATAGAGGCAGAGATAGTGAAAAAATAATAAAAACACCAGTTTTTTTATCAGGTAGAATATTAAATGTGCGAGTTTATTGATATGTTTTGCAAATCGAATGCACATTTAGAACATTACTATTCCACCAGAAGGTTTCTTAAGGAACATATTCTCTAGAAGTCTTACAACGTAAAAATCTAAGTGATAATTGTCTCTATTCATTAAATAATGATTAGACTTTTATAAACAAAGTCTACTGAAGGGCAATCAATAATATCATATCGGTTATTGAGGACAGCCACTTTTTAAGAGCAAATTGAAACTTAGCTCTCTAAATGAAAGCTCATAGTCATCGGCAACATTCATCCCATGAAAGGGTCGGAGCGATAAAGTTGGGCTTTAATATCGATTTATTCTGTATTACTTAATCATAAAATATCTGCAATATGTCTATCAAAACCACTTTCGATGAAAATTCTCAGCTATTATTTGACAAAACCGTTTATAATGAAGTGTTTTACTTCGATCGATACATTAAATGTGCCAATTTATGATTGGGGAACTGTAAGGAATGGCCATACTTTGTCAAGTTCAATATTGAATACCGATTCCAAAATATATCAGTTGCTATTGCTATATATAAACTTGACGTGTTAAATATATTCGAAATCGGCGGCGTCTTCGAGTAGCAAAAGTTGCTCCTCTAAAGATTAATTAAACACGTGAATAATGTTAAGAATAGAAGTGATTTCAAGCTAACCGTAGCCAATTAATTCAGACACCCAATATTGAACAAGGAGATCCGAGACCCAATCTCGTTGATATACTGCAGATGAAGACACACGCTTATGTGTTAATTTTAATACTTAAGGTCAAGGAAACGTTAACGTGTTAAAAATACAACAATACTCAGTCACAAAGCCATGAATATAGTCATAAATCAATAATGAAAACTTGATTTTTACCTGGACTATTTTCGTCATCTCCTGAATGTCTATAACTCCATTGCCATCCACATCATACATACGGAAAGCCCATTTGAGCTTTTCCTCAGGGGTACCACTCGATGTCACATGAATCGCCTGCAGAAATTCCTATAACAAACACATTTGCTCGATACGGTAAGACTTCAGAAAGAAAGAACAAGAAATATACTTGTTCTTACTCAACATAATAAAGTGACAATGAATTTGAAAAATCGCTTTCAGCTAAATTATAGGCAACAGTTCGCCACGCACAGTTAAAACTATTTGAAACTCGCCAGCATTTTCGCATTTTGCAAATAAAAAAAAAACTTTACTATACAATTAAAAAACTGTGCGCTACCTTAAAATCTATGTATCCGTTTTTATCCATGTCGAAAGTGCGGAATACGTGGTCGCAGAATTCAACCGCATTGCCAGAGGGGAAAAACATCTTGTACATATCGACGAATTTTGCAGGTGTAAGCCGCCCGTTAGGACAGTCTTGCTGAAAATTGATTACAAACCAAGTTATAGTACACACAGCAATATTTACGTATTATCAAATGTCACAATTTTTAACAAGAAAATAACGGAAAAGTTCTAAAAATATATTTTATAAATTCTGAACCCAATAGACAAATTAGACATCGTTAGTGTCGGAGACTTGAATTGTAATATTTTGGGTGGGAGACATATAAATGACTACGATTTATCATGGCCAGTTTTGCCGCTCCGACTCACCTTGAACCCTTTGTACCACTCCTTGATAGTGGTTTCATCGTATGACGTGTGAGTTTTCAGGAAGTCCATATCCTCCTTAGTGAGTTTATCTTTACTGACGAAACAGCCCATTATGTCTTCTGCAACAATAGAAAGTGCAATGTCTTTTAACTATTCCGTCGATGTCCATTTATAGAATCATAAAATATGAGTATAAATTATAATGGTTTAATACAAAAAATAAACTACTGCAGTTGCTGAGACGCCCTTGGCATACTGCAATAAGTAAGTTGTAGGAACGAGGTTACACTATATGCTAATATATTAATTTATAGTTTTATATACACTAGTAGAACGTTGGACTAGGTTCGTTACGAAACGTAAATTTATACGAAAAGCTCGCCATAGCATCAAATTACTTAAGCTTGCTTGCACTCAAACCCAATTCCACGTTTCAATTGCACAGCTCAAACATAGCAGATTACTCGCAAACTTCTACCACGATAACGATTCTAACAAATCTAAAAAGATAACGATTAATTAAATACTTGATTTAAAGAAACAAACATGAAACAGCAAAAAGAACAGTAAGTTAAAATTGTTTCTTTTACCATAATAAATATTATCTTTATAAAATTACAAACGTTTATTATTGAAAAAATAGAAGATACAACTGTAGATTATTTTAAATAACGATTTACATTCACTGTAACAGATCCAATAAAGGAGTATTGAGACAATTTGCTGGAAATGTCTCTACTAAAACATTTGATTGAAATAGTCTATTTCAAATGGAACATTTTAGAATTGATATATAATAAAGAAATTACGGTACGTAATATATTCAAATGGCATATATGTATATGACAGCTGCATATTTTTTTTTTGCAGAAAATTTAAATGGGTTTAATACTTTTTAAAAATAAATACATGTTGTCTTAAACGGCATTCGCTTTTTTAGACCCTACAATTGTTAATTTTATTGAAGCTATTACACGATTTTAAAAACAAACAAGCTCAACAAAGTCATATTCAGAGTCAGGTTGGTGCTGATCTTCTATCACAGTTTTGCCATTTTTGAATAAGTGCTTCAATATGTCAAAATAGTTTTGAATTGACATTCCAGGGATAACACACTTATCGCGATCTGTCGCGTTCGAAAGCATACTTCCGTGAACTTCCATCAGGTTTGCACCTATTTTAAACGTCTTAAAAATTATCTGACCAAAAAAGTCTCACGCATTCTTCTCACGCAGTGAATTAGACATTTTTTCTCTTCTGACATTGTCAATTTGCTTTAGATGGTCAACAGTTTAAATCAACTTTACTCCCCGTTCAATAGAAAAAAAGTATCAGGTCTAAAAATCACCAAAAAATAAAAAAGGGAAAAAAATAAAAGTAATTCAACGAGACGCTCATATACAATACACCAACCTAAAAATAATATATGAAATCATGCAATACTATTTGTTTCTATTGCTAGCTCAATACTCGTTCATCTGTTTTGTTAAAAATAGATATCACACGTAGGGCAATTGATCGATAAACTGAATCGGCTTTTATTGTATATACATAAGGTCGATAATTATATGAAAAATTTATGAACTTATTACTAACCGAAAGTAAGTTTCGTAGGATAGAACAATAGATGGGGTTTGGGGGTTAACATTACGAATCAAAGCTCTCAGCTAATTTTCGATTCTCGGCTGGCTCAATATGAGAAATTGTGTTATGTATTTTATCACAGGTCTAAGTAATTGTGGTACCAGCGTTGTTACATTTATAGGCTTAAGCTTCTTAATTAATTACTTAACTTGATACCTGAATGTATTTCAAATATATATTTATTTTGAGAAAGAGTAGAAAAATAAATACGATGTAACATCAATTAAAAATTTGCAATAGAGTACATATAACGTTGTACGTTTAAAAATGTTAATGTTCAGGAACTCAAAAACAAAGTCAAGGGCTAAGAAATCCACATTTTTATTTATTAAATATCAAAATTCACATTAAAAAGTATTCAACAATAGTTGCCTATAATTAGACAATCGATCTAATGAGATTAACTAAAGAAGGAGTTGTTTCGAAGACTTAGGGTCGGTACAAGTCTGGTGGATGATAAAGGAGCTTTAGCAGGCATCGGATCATCTGTTGAGTGTTCAAAACTGAATATCATTTCATATTTTTGCCAGTTCTACGTTCCACGACTGACTATAATGTTACGTTACTTGCATTTTCCGTCAGATTGGGCGCATCTTACCCAAACAAATGCAAATAGGGATACAAAGTCAACTTAGAAGTTAAGGCTAAGTAGAACAAAAAAATGCTCTTTTAAGACAATCCCGTGTTTTTTTTTTCTTTTTGTTTATTTACAAAGGGCTCACTCTTGACCTCAATCTAGCCTAAAAACATAGATGAGATCTACGGTAGGACGAGCTTGCCCAGAAGGAACTATTCACTCTTGCCTTAAAAAGGTCTGGGTTATATTAACTGTAATAAAAAACAGTTTTAAATGCCTGCAAACTAAAATTACACTTTATTCATGAGAAATATAGAACATCATTGTTTTTATATTTGATCTATTTTGCATTTACAATGCTATCTTGGAAAATATTCAAAAAATGTTTAAAAAACTCAACAGCCTTAAGTACTCTAAGATTGGACTCTAACGTACGACCTTTCGCAATTCGGGAGACCGCTGTAACTACTGAACTACCCAGAAACTAACAGGAGTGACGAATTTTTCAAGCACTTGTCACTTTTCACTACTAGTGAGTCTACTTTCATCAATGTTCAGGCAATCCACCCAAACGGCCGAAAGAAATATTCTTACAAATATTGCAAACTTTTTAGTCACCCGGATTGCGAAAGGTCGTGAATTCGAGTCCAATTTTAGAGCAGCTAGAGCTGGTGGAATTTTGAAGCATTTTTCATTGGAAATTACAAAATTCCAAGAAACCTGAGTCTTCTTGCAATATCGTAAAATAAACATAATTCCATTACATTCTTCGATCACATATACACAAGTTTTGTATAATATGTACTGTACAGAATAATGTTCATAAAACGAGTTATGTTGTAATAAATTGTCTATAAAGCTAAGAGCTGATAAACTTCAAAGGCCGATCGAGAGCATTTTATATGGCAAAGTCAGGAGGCTCGTAAAAAATCGACTATATATCTTACAAGCTTTCCTAAGTTTCGAGTTGTCAAATCCTACTAACTGTGAATCACTTTAAACTGAATTTCTATACGAATATTATACAGAGGTAAAGTTTAAAACTATTTTAGGGGGAGTAATTTGAAAAAACTATCATGTAAATTCTTCCACATACATGAAGCAGCATCAGACGCACGCTAAATTTTCAAAAAATACGCGATGTAGGGGTGACATCTACTATTTTTTATTTTGGCAATAAAAATGAGATAAATCTTCTATCAATAAATTCACAATTATATTTCAATTTATATACAGTAAGCTCTCAGTCGTATGGCTCTACAGAGTAGTTTTTAGAACGTTGGATCTGCAAAGCGGAAGCAACTTTTGCAAGTGTCGATGATGGGTGAGCAAAACAATTATTATATCAAGCACCTCCGTGCTTCAGAAAGCACGTCGAACCGATCTTAACTGCACGTTGAGTAGTTAAAACCCCAAAAGGCGAGGTGGGTCATAACTCGTTCTCTCTATTTAATTCTATCCACAGGGTAGGTGTGTGCCTAGCAGTGCGGAATCAAACTGATGATAATGATGAAGCTCCCAGTCGGCATGATTTTCTCGACACGTTCAAAAATAATTGTTCTTATCCAACTGTAATAATAATAAACACTGCGTGGCTCAGGCCTTACTAATGGTTAAGAAGGATGAGCCATGACCCTCTACGTGGGCCTAATCGGAGGGTATTAACGGCTGCAGATGCAGCCGGGACTGACGGTTTAACGTGCCTTCCGAAGCACGGAGTAGCTCGAAATAATAATTTTTGGTAACCCATCTCGTGATCGACCCTTACTAAAGTTACTTAACAACAACGATCACGGGCCGCACCGCTTATCAACTACATCACCGAGCTACTCGTAATAATATTTTTTTTATTTCTTTCTTTGTATCAAAATTAAAATTTTGTCTTACAGTTAGGTCTATCTACCTAGGTTACTCCTACACATAACTAATATTGTAAGTTTTTATATAACTTACATACTCATATGAAAATGTTTCTCATGTGTTAACAATTTTTTCAAACTCATCGCGTCAAACAGACGCGGCGAAAGAACTCTATTTCATAACAATATAAGGACTAAAATCAGAACAAATAAAAACTATTGCTTCTCAGAAACAGAGTCTATATCATGAGTTAGTCGGCTGTGCCACCAGCCATGTTTCTACCTCACTTAACAATAACCCAGTGAATATTGACTTGACTGCAAAAGATTCGTTTAAGTGTTCTTTAAAAAACAAGAAGGTAAGTGTAGTCATTTTTGCGATCTGAGTTCTTAAAATAAAAGAAACTTACAATCAAATAAACGTCGGGTAAATTTGATCCAGTGACAGGATGTTAAGTCATAAACAGAAATATATAGCGTGAATGTAGAGCGGGGTCTCGAAAGGGTCGTTAATTTCCTGTGAAATTCTCAGATTTTACATATTTTATTGATTTAAAAACTGTAAAGTAGCTTTGACCACGAAAATTTCATTGCAATTAGAGGAAATATTACCTCACACATGTTCGCAAGTTCCATTTGTCTTTAATTAAATGAAAACTTTACAATACACTTAACACGCAATATACTTATAATAATTGGTCCCAATTACTAAGGAAAATTGTTATTCATTTTAACAATTTCAAAAATTCTTTATTATAATAAGCACAATCATCCATACCGAACTTCGATTCGTAACATTAAGACATGCCACAATACGTTCGCGAGATTCCACAGTCACTCAATCGATTTTATTATAATATAAAATGGATTTTAAAAGGAGTTAGCCAGCACAAGTTCAAATCCCAATGGTACCCATAATACTGTAAGTGATTTATCATATATCAAACCACTGCTATATTCACTCTTACGAAAACTGGTTTCATTGTATTTTGTTTCAAATCATGATAAATCTTCACATAAATTCACAGCATTTATACAT